AGATGTAGAGGCCTTAGATGTTGTGATTACATGGATTATTTCTGTTTGCGACAAGGATGCCTCAATATTATTTGATCCAAGATCCATGTATTCATATGTGTCATCTCTATTTGCTCCATTCCTCGGTGTTTCTTGTGAGTCCTTGAGTACTCCTATTTATGTGTCCACTCCTGTAGGCAATTCTGTTATTGTGAACCGGATCTATCGGTCTTGTATTATTACATTTTGTGGTTATAAAAATATAGCAGATCTCTTATTGCTCGAGATGACCGATTTTGAAATGATTCTGGGTATGGACTGGTTATCTCCATATCATGTTATTCTAGGTTGTCATGCTAAAACTGTTACCTTGGCTATTCTATCTTTGCCTAAGCTGGAGTGGAAGGGTTCGTCAGTTAGTTTATTTAATCGGGTTATATCTTTTATAAAGGCTCAACACATGGTTGAGAAGGGTTGTTTGGCTTATCTAGCCTATGTTTGGGATACTACTGCAGAGACTCCGACTATTGATTTAGTGCCAGTAGTTCGGGAGTACTCCGATGTATTTCTTTCAGATCTTCAAGGTATGCCACCTGATCGGGATATTGATTTCTGTATTGACTTGGCTCTAGATACTCAACCGATATCTATTCCACCGTATCGCATGGCTCCGAAAGAATTGAAAGAGTTAAAAGAACAGCTTGAAGAGTTACTAGCCAAAGGGTTCGTCAGACCGAGTGTATCGCCTTGGGGTGCATTAGTATTATTTGTGAAGAAGAAAGATGGCATAATGTGAATGTGTATTGACTATCGCCAATTGAACAAAGTTACTATTAAGAACAAGTACCCGTTGTCGCGTATTGATGACCTATTTGACTAGTTGCAGGGTGCTAGGGTGTTCTCTAAGATCGACTTGAGGTCGGGGTATCATCAGTTGAAGATTCGAGATTCGTATGTTCCGAAAGCTGCTTTCCGTACTAGATATGGTCATTATGAGTTTCTAGTGATGTCTTTCGGTTTAACTAATGCCCCGACAGCGTTTACGGATATGATGAACAGGGTATTCATGCCATATATTGATTCGTTTGTCATTGTCTTCATTGATGATATTTTGATCTACTCACACAATAAGGAGGAACATGAGCAACATATGAGAGTAGTGCTTTAGACACTGTGAGAACAAAAGCTATATGCTAAGTTCTCTAAATGTGAGTTTTGGCTAGAGTCTGTAGCATTTTTGGGACATATTGTATCGAGCGAAGGTATTAAAGTTGATCCCAAAAAGATTGAGGCAGTTTAGAATTGGCATCGACCCACTTCGGCGACTGAGATCAGGAGTTTTCTGGGTCTAGCAGATTATTATCGTCGGTTGTGGAAGGTTTTTCATCTATTGCAGCACCTTTGACCAAATTAACCCAAAAGGGTGTTCAGTTCCGATGGTCCGATGATTGTGAGGCAAGCTTTCAGAAGCCAAGACAACATTGATTACAACACTAGTGTTAGTGTTACCTTCCGGTTCGGGAATGTATATGGTGTATTGCGATGCTTCACGCGTTGGTTTGGGTTGTATATTAATACAGGAAGGGCAAGTTATTGCATATGCTTCACGTCAGTTGAAGCCCCACGAGCAGAATTATCCGGTACATGATTTGGAGTTAGTTGCGATTGTTCACGCACTTAAGATTTGGAGGCATTATCTTTATGGGGTGTCTTGTGAAGTTTATACTGATCATCGCAGTTTGCAGCATTTGTTCAAGTAGATGGACCTAAATTTGAGGCAGCGCAAATGGCTGGAATTACTAAAAGATTATGATATTACTATCCTATATCATCCAGGTAAAGCAAATGTAGTTGCAGATGCCTTCAGTAGAAAGGCAGAGAGTATGGGTAGTTTGGCTTTCATTTCAGTAGAAGAGAGGCTATTAGCTTTGGATATCCAGTCCTTGGCCAACAGACTTGTGTGGCTAGATATTTCAGAGCCCAGCCGAGTTCTTGCATGTGTCGTAGCTCAGACTTCACTATTGGAGCAAATCAAGGCTCGCCAGTATGATGACCCACACTTAATGGTTCTTCAAGAAACGGTACTACGAGGTGGTGCCAAGGAAATTACTATTGGTGCGGATGGTGTTCTACGACTCCAGGATCATCTGTGTGTTCCTAATGTGGATGAACTGAGGAAAAAGATCATAGAGGAGGCACACAGTTATCGGTACTCTATTCATCCAGGTGCTACGAAGATGTATCGTGACTTGAGGAAGCATTATTGGTGGCGACGAATGAAAAAGGACATAGTTGAGTATGTAGTTAGGTGTCTAAATTGCCAGCAAGTTAAATATGAGCACCAGAGGCCAGGCGGCCTACTTCAGCATATGACTATACCAGAGTGAAAATGGGAACAAATTACTATAGACTTTGTAGTTGGGTTGCCGCGGACCTTGAGTAAGTTTTATGTAGTTTGGGTGATTGTTGACAGCTTGACCAAGTCGGCACATTTTATTCCTGTTGTGACTACGTATACTTCAGAGAGGTTGGCCCAGATTTATATTCAGGAGATAGTTCGGTTGCACGGTGTGCCAATTTCCATCTTATCAGATAGAGGCCCTCAGTTTACTTCACACTTTTGGAGAGTAGTGCAGAGTGAATTAGGGACCCGTGTAGAGCTCAACACAGCCTTTCATCCGCAGACCGCCGGGCAGTCAGAGCGGACAGTTCAGATTTTGGAGGATATGCTCAGGGCATGTGTGATTGACTTTGGAGGTTAGTGGGATCGTTTCCTGCCTTTGGCCGAGTTTTCTTATAATAACAGTTACTAATCCATCATCGAGATGTATCCATTTGAGGCTTTATTTGGCCGTCGATGTCGTTCACCTATCGGATGGTTTGAGCCCGGTGAGGCTAAGTTATACAGCACTGATTTGGTAAAGGATGCCTTGGAAAAGGTAAAGTTGATTCAGAAGCGACTTCGTACAGCACAGTCCAGACATAAGAGTTAAGCGGATCAAAAAGCGCGTGATTTATCATTTATGGTAGGTGAAAAAGTTCTCTTGAAGGTTTCGCCGATGAAGGGAATTATGAGATTCGGGAAGAAGGGCAAGTTGAGCCCAAGGTTTATAGGCCCATTTGAGGTGTTGAGACGAGTTGGGGAGGTTGCTTATGAGCTTGCATTGGCTCCCAGTCTAGCGGGAGTTCATTCGATTTTCCATGTATCTATGCTCCGGAAGTATCATACTGACCTATCACATATGTTGGACTTCAGCACAGTTCAGCTAGATAAGAGTTTGGGTTATGAAGAAGAGCCATTAGACATTGTTGATAAACAAGTTCGCCAGTTGAAGTCCAAGAGGATTTCTGTAGTAAAGGTCCAGTGGAGGGGCCAACCAGTCGAGGAAGCAACTTGGGAGGTCGAGGAGGACATGCGGAGCAAATATCCACACTTATTTAGCACTCTAGGTATTATTTTAAACCTGTTCGAGGACGAACGTTTGTTTAAGAGGTGGAGAATGTAATGACCCAACCAGACATTTTAACTTTTAGAAACCCGTTCCCTAAAATAAAACTCCCCGAACATGTTTTTATTAATTTATGACTCGCGGGGATAGTTGGTTCGGGATTTGGAAGTGTGTGGGTTGAAATCGGAACACTTGGTTCCTTAAGTTAGCTTTAAAGGGAATGTGATAAAAGATCCACAATTTTATACGAAGATAATATTGCATGCATAACCCATTTGAATGAAGGATTTATAAAAGGAGATAGAACGAAGCATATTTCACCATTTATTCACTACATCTTTGCCAACTTCAACTTTTGAGAAGATGATATACAAGTTTGGAATGCGGAGACTCAAATATTTGAAACAAGGTTTTCATCATGGGGAGTAAAATATGCGTTGTACTCTTTTTTCCTTACTAAGGGTTTTCCCATAGATTTTTTCTTGTAAAATTTTTAATGAGGCATCTAGAAATGCGTATTACTAAAGACCCATTTGGACATAAAATTTGATGGAAGATTTTTCCAAAAAAAATTTATTTTTTTTCGAAATCAACGTTTGTTCATAAAATTTTCAATTTTCACTTGAAGATGCATTTTGGAAATTTTCAAAAATTGAAAAACTGCAAAAAGTTATTTTTCAAAATTTTCACTCAAATCACTCACAAAACTTCAAAAACAACCCAAACTGAAATTTATGTCCAAACACAACTCTAAATTTCAAATACTATTTTCACTTGAAAAATTTTTTTCACCAGTTTTTCGAATTTTACAATTCTTATGTCCAAACGCCTACTAAAGCCGTGTACTCTTTTTTTTTCGCTAGAATGTTTTCCATTGGGTATTTCCTAGTAAGGTTTTAACGAGTCACATTATCTTTTAATGAACATCCAAGGGGGAGTGTTATGAAAATATTATATTATGGATGTCCATTTATTACTCCACTATAGATAATCTTCCTGAAGAAGATTATCCGTTTAATACTCTATTTAAGTTTATCTACAAGCAGCTGATGTAGGCAGGTTGCAAGCAACTCAATAAAATAATTTGCATAAGCTTTTTATTAAACATACAAGTTATGAGTAACTCATGCAGACAACTTACAAACAGCTCAAGAAAAGTCTCGCAGCTGCTTATTGAAAAGCCTTGCAATTGCTTCTTGAAAAGACTCGCAACTGTTTCCTTTCTTCTATAAATAGAAGAGTTTTCAGTTCATTATGTACATAAGATTGAAGTTGAATAATATTTTAGTTTCTCTATACTTGTCTTTAATTTATTTACTTTACAGTTTTTATTTTATAACAAAAGTAATTTTATCTCTTTCATTAGGAATAAGTCTTGTCAATTTTAAGGTAATCTTAAACCGTCGTCAAAATTTAAGAGGTAAATTGGTTTTCCGAAAAATTGGACATGTAAAGTTTACTTATTTCACATTGACAATGATAAGTTCGAGATAATTTGCTATTGGCAAAATCATTTATGGACCAAAAGTAACAATTCTGGATAATACAAGGGTAAATTTGAACCTTTTTCCTCATTCAAACGCACGAGTTGGCCCTTCTCATTCTCTTTCTGTTCTGTCTTAATATTATAGCTTCGGCCGGTGGGACAGAGAGTGATAGACTGAAACTCAGAGGAGCTCGCGGGGACAAAAAATGTTCCAACCAACAGACGGCAGTTACACAAACGGCTACCACCACGACGGCGCCGTCTCTTCCGCCGCCGGAATCTCAAGCGGTCATCGAGTACGTAGGGTCAGCCGCGGCAGGTCACGTGGCCGTAGAAGCGGCGTTACTGGTAGCGACGGTGCTCCTAGGGTTGTTCAATGGCAACAACATCAGCAACAGAACGAATACGAGGAGGAGGAAAGGGAAAAACCTACACCTCCTTGTACAGAGTTTGATACGGCGTATTTCAACTCATACGCTCATGTTGGCATTCACGAAGAAATGATTAAGGTACCATTTTTTAAAAAGATCTCGTTGTTACATTGCGGATCTCCTCTATAATAACATTTCACTATAAGGGTTAAGTTTTCCTTGGAACCGATTTATTTATGTTATAAAGAGGTTTGACAGTATTATACATATTTCAAATGAGTTTAAGTTTTATGAACTGACGGTGTAAAAATTATTTACACAATTGGGTCACCTAAACGGTAATTGTAGGTAAACTTATATAATAAGGGTTAATGGTAGTTACCTAAAAATAAATGGGAAGCAAAGGCAACATGCTATAACAGGTTAAAGTACATTGATGGTTGAGTGTTAATTTCCTCGCAGCATTGAGAACTAGATGTAACACATAACTAAAATAAGATGGTTTTAATGGAAGAGTGCTTTCGGAGTGGCTGTACATGCTAGACTGGTTTGGCATGTATACACATCCCAAGAATTAGCTTTTAGGGAGTGTAAGCCTGAGGAGTTGAAGTTACAGAGTTATAGGATTAATTGGGTATACATGTTAGACTGGTTGGCATGCATACAGCTATACATGTCCCCACATATATATATANAGTTATCGAATTACTTGGCTATATGCATCACTCGAGTATTGAACACTAAATGGAGCTGTATAGTGTAATTCAAACTTTATAGTCCTCCTGTCTCATTTTATATGATAGTAACTGACTTGGAAAGTAGTTTAATATGCTAATTTGAATTGTATATTATACTATTGATAGTCGGAGAAAATATCAAGTTAATGGATAGTTTGATAAAGAAACATCATACTAAAGTTCAAAAATTTGAATTCCTGAAAATTGTGAAAGTTATATAAAAAAGGAATACTGCTAAATATTTTGGGATACTCCTAAATAGAGTGTCATCTAAATTGCAAGAGGGTAGTATTACTTTGCAGAGCAGCAGAAGTTTAAGTAGTAAGTTGGAGATTTATAGCATGCCTTGGATATATCATAACTTCTTGGCTTACCATCGCTGAAAAAATGTTATCTTTTCCAGGCTAGATCACATATTTTGAATTGTGTTGAAAAATCATTTTACTCCTTGTCTTTTAGGCAATTTAATTATTTTACTTGCACTTGATTGTCTATTGCCCTTTTCCATTGTGTTTATGCTTTCAAATATATTTAGATGCATAAAGGACATATTAATTTATGGCTGGAATTTACAGGATCGTGCGCGGACTGAAAGTTATAGGAATGCAATTTTTCAGCATCAAAACTACATTGCTGGAAAAGTAAGCCGACTATCCGAATAGTTCCTTGTGCACCAGATGATATTCCTAAAATTTATCAGATCTCACATTGTATTGCTACCTAAGCCTTGCACGATTCTTTACCTGTTTTATGGTTTCATTACAGAGTTCCTGTCTATACCTACAGTATAATTGAATTTACATTTTCCAGGTTGTTGTTGATGTTGGATGTGGCACTGGTATCCTATCTATATTTTGTGCTCAGGCAGGTGCAAGACGAGTAAGATATCTTTAAGTCCTTTTTAGCTGAAACTTCATCAATCTGAGTTCATTTTACCCGATGGAGTTGTTATTTCCATGGCTCATTTTTTTCTCCTTTTTCCATAAAAAAATTCCGTATCTCTTAACTTTTGAGGAAATGTATGAACTTGTCTATGTATACAATATACAAACTCACCCTGGATTGTAATACATTTCTAAATAGTAGAAGTAGAAAAAGTAGGCAACATGAAAATTGTGACATGTTCCGTATTTGTCACTGGAATATTTACCGGATGTAGATGCCTATGCTAGATTGCAGTCAACACTTTCTGTATCTTCATAGTATGCACACTCTTTATCTTGGTACATAACAGTGTGAATTCCATTTACCGGGCACCAACGAGATGCCAAAGCTTGTAAAAATCGGGATATGCAAGAATATACAAAAGCAGGATAGTATATGCCTTATTCAGGCAGAATCTTTAGTAGACCTGATAGGTGCACTATAATCTTAGGTTGTCATAGCTGGTTTTTGTTTTCCTTGTAAATATGACTTGGCACTGCTCTAGTGCTGTTTTATTTATTAATATACATGTTACCATTATCAAAAAAATATGCCATATTCAAAACCATCCATCTGTACAAGCTTAGCTCATCCTGAAAGTCACAAGTCAAGAGAAGATGGAATTTACTTGTCCTTGCTCCATAGTTTAAAGCTTGAGCAAATGGTTAAATCTATGCTTTGGTGAACCTTCTTCCTTGTAAGGCTAGTCGCTTTTCTCCTATCAAATGCTCCCAAAAAAAAAAAAGGATCCTGGGAGAGTCATCCAAGATTTTTATTTCTACCAAACATGTGATCCTGGATTGTTGAAGGCATTGACTTTTATACACCAATGCAGAAGAATGAATACCCGGGAATTATTCATCCGATCATGGTGATAAAATATATGATTGATTGTTTCCCCAGCCTTCTTGCAGAAAAACAGCTATGACAAAGTTTTTGATTGTTCATTGCGTTGCCATCGCTTTGGGAGATCTGTGTTTTTTATCCTTTTTCAAAATAATGTCGCATCTATGATGTGTTTTACTTTCTTGCTACGCTGGTTTTTGGTGGGCCAAATGAGCTCTTGATGCAAAGCGAACTTTTTGTTTGCTTCATTGGTATTTCCTTTAATTTGGATATTCCAGATATAATACTTATCAGGCAGATGTTCTTTTATCCAGGTGTATGCTGTTGATGCAAGTGATATAGCTGTCCAGGTACTTGTTTTCTTTTGTTATTGAAGATGTCCATTAAAAAAAAGATGTCCACTGAAGCTTGTTCTATTTATTTTAGCATTTAGATTCTATGATGAGCGAGTAATGTTTCTTTCCTTTTTTTTTTCCTATTTTCTTTTTGAGAGATGACATTATATAAATCAGCAGCACAAAGGCTGTGTTGGTAGCTATATTTACAGTTTCAATAAGAACAAAAATATGTCCTTGTTCATCTTACAAGGATTCTATGAAATCTAGCATAGATTCAGCTTTTCAGCTTCATTTACATAGTTCTCTTTACGCCAAAAATGAAATACCAGTATAGAATTCATCTTTATCATCTGAACTGAGTTGCATCTATCTTCAAAGCACCTGCACTTCTTTCCTTCCAAACAGTCCACCATATGAAAGCTGGGTCATGTTCCATCATTTCTTTTGTCTGACACTACCTCTCTCATTATTCCAGCACCTTAGAAGGTCATTTGTAGACAGGCATAATCCATCTAAGTCCATTCATGCTACAAATTAGTTTTCACAGAGCTCACAGTTATGTTTCCATGCACATTTTATATGGTTGATGAGTTCTGGGAGAATCGACTGCTCCATTATGGTGCTTATGATGTAGTGCATCATTTACTAGGCTTGCAGAAACTTCGAATACTCCTTTTTTTAACTTAACCTTATATTTGATAAATTTCTAAAGAACTGCTTGTAGTGAGGCAACTGACGACAATGATGGTTTATGATGTGGTCCTACTACTTAAAGATTTCAAACGCTCATGGTTTAACTCATTGCTTATCAAGTTAAAGAGCTTGCAAAACATTCAATATCTAACATGGTGATAAGTTCTCTAAAGAACTTCCAGTTGCCGCACTGAAGGCAAATTGTGCACTATGTAGTTGGCCAAAGATTACTTAAGGAAGAAGTGTTTATTTTCAGTTTTTACATGTTGGTAGGATGAAACAAACATGAGTTTCATGGAAAAATGAAAAAACTGTTTCTATGGGAGGACTAATGGTTGGAAACCTGAGAACAGGTAGAGGGATAGGTGTCACGTATGAGTTGAAGAGAATGGATTGGCAATTAAGGTACGGAACGAAGTGCTTTTGACAGAAGTACAGTGGGGTAATTCAGCTTGAAGCCATGTTGGATTTATTAGTTCATTACACTCTCTGTGATGTTCTATTTGGAAATTTGGATGTACTCTTTTCCAGCTTTCACTGAAATAGATCAATAAACTTTACCTTACATAAAAAAAAAAGTGCAATGGGGTAATTCACTTGCGAAATATGCTTGAATATGCATAGGTTTGTGAATCATTCTAGGACATCCTAGCTCGTATTGCAAATTCAGTAATTTGACAGAGTTTTAGATGCATGACTTAGCAACTCAACCCGGCAAAGGCAGCCTATTTCCTATAAACACAAGCATAGAAACAACCGTACCTTACTTTGGCCTGCCTCCAATACTTCCTCAGATTAGCTCAGGAGCGACCATTGCATTCCACAAGCAATCAATCAAATATTTACTTATAAAAAACAGGAAGCAAACAGATATTCATTGGCAGAAATCATTTGTTACTCCAAACCATCTTTGTTGTGTCAATTGGGGTATGTTACCGAGTTATGTTGATTCTTCGTTTTCTTCACCAGATCGGTGTCAATCTGACATGCTGCTGCTGCTGGTACGGTAAAAATCTGATCAAAGTCTGGCAGGTACTTTAAACGCGAAGTTGAAACCAAACTGATGGCCAGATGAAGATGACAACAAAGATCAAGAAGAAAGAAGAAAATAAACTTAGTTAGACATAGGGCTGCCACAGTGTCGGATGAGGTTGCTGCTGTCGCTTATTTTGCCGATTTCTCCTTGGGTAAAGGAGGATGAAGGAAAAAAATGTCTCTTGGGCCAAGGAGGGCCCCAGGATAACATGGGTATCCAGTATCCACTGGAGTTAGGGTTATGCACTAAAGTTGGCTGTGCTGAAGGAAGAGGGGCAGAAAGCATGAAGGTAGAAGGCTGAGTTTTGAGGGATAGCAGAGGTCTTTTCTCCTATGGACCTTTGTCGCTTTTTGTGGTTTTTGCTCTTAAAAATACCACTACAAAGACAGATTTTGATACCGTGTGAAAATAAGAGAGGAAATGAGAGAATTTGTCTTGTTGTCGTGCTTAATTTTGGGTTTTGGGGATATAGAGGTTTCTTATATAAGAGTCATGCTCTTCTGAGCCTATGTACAACAAGGTAATTAATAATATTTTCCAGTGTTTAAGTACAAAATATTTTGGGATATCTTATGAAAATTCTAGATAATACTCTCTCCTCAAGTTCCGTAAATTTAGATAATTCTAAAAATATTATTACGTTATTTTCTTGACTTTCAACGATGCCAATTAGGATGAACTGGAGAGATTCCTGCAAGTTTCTATCCTTTCCTCTTTTAGAACACGTGTAAAACATTATTAAACCATAATATATGAAGGAAACACCCTAGTAGCTGGACATTCTAAAGATCTCTTCCACTGTTTTTTTCTACAGGAACTATGCGAAATATTTTTTGTTGATTGTTAGGAACTATGTGAAATATTTCAACTCAAACCTCATTTACATCCCTTTTTTGTGGTTGTCCAGGCAAATGAAATTGTGAAGGCAAACAACCTATCTGACAAAGTTATTGTTTTGCATGGGCGGGTCGAGGTATGTTCCAGTCTAAACATTTCCCTTGTTTTGGCTACTTAGAGTGGATGTTATTCACCCTTAGAAGATTGGCTACTTCTGTTGCTTAACTTGATTAAAATGCTTTTCTTGAGGGAAGTGAAGATCCTTAACATTCACTTCGCTTGTATGTGAAAGAATTGCCAGGTCATAGGCAAAACCTTTAATCAATTTATCATACTCAAGTGTTTATTTTGGGCTCTAAGATCAAGCATTGCTTGATCTGGCATATTCAGAATTCTTCCACCTGTTTATGCTGTTTTATACTTGTAGATAAGAGGTGACAGGGACTTAGTTCTTCAGGAAAAATCAAATTCCTTATTGAGAATAGCTTGGTAACTTGTTGAACCAAAGGGTGACTAGATCATGGCTATTTGCTTAATGGAATATGAATGAAGTTTGGCTTTAAATTCATTTTGAGCAAGGAAATCCCTCGGTTCCGGAGCTTTTACCTAGAGTCTTGATTGGTATGGTCTGCAGAGATTCTGGTTACGTCTTGTGGAAATAGTTTTCTGAAAGCTGCAGCGTGATGCCCTGTATTGATGATGCCAGTGAATTAGCTATTTAGACTCGAATGCGATTGAAATATTTTGTCACATTGAACCTAAATGTTGCTCTTTCAGCGCCAAAATGTTAGAAAGTAGGCATTCATCTCAAACATGGCAAAGTTTTTCACTTCCAAAAGTTTAAGCTGATAGAAACTAGTAGCGCTGTTTTTGGTTTGACCTTTTAAATTAAAGTTTTTTGATTAAATCAGTTTTTTTAATTACAATTGAAGTTAGTTAACAGATGAAAATAGTCAGCTTTTATAAATTATCAGTACATCTCTTTGGAAAACCTGAACTGCAATGAGTTTTTGACTATCAAAAGCAAAATGGCCCTAATACTACTTTATACATTTTTAGTTTTGATGCGATGATTTTTAACAAAATTACTCATCCTTCACACCCTTTAACTACTCCACTTTTGTAGTTATTTTCTCCTCTCTTTTTTTTTCTTTTCTTTTGTTGATTCAAAGATGAGTATTAGGAAATGCAGTAAAAGTTAAAATTCAAGGCCTTGAACTTGTGAAGTAAGTGAGAAGTGCGAAACAGTGGGAAAGAATTGGACGGGTAAAAAGGCGTGACTGCAAAATTTGATTAATGTTATTGCAAGTTGGTCCATTTTATATTTTCTCTTTGAATTGTAGGTATTTGGACTAGGCGATATGAGCTGTGTGTGCTAAATGCATGAGTTTCTTGGGGATTGCGTAACCCTAGTAGATGTTCTATGAGCTGTACCCTGTCAGCAATCATTTATCCAAATTACTAAACAATAAGAAAGCTTCTATGTTCTTTTCAAAAATAAGAAAACCTCTGTGACTGGCTTCTTAAATATGTAGTAAAAGTGAAGTAGTATTAGTGACACATTTATTTACTTGGGTGAAGATGTATGGATAACTTCTTGTAAATTGACTGCAAAATAACAAAATCACTAAAGATCTATCTCTAACCAACAGCCATTAAAATATGCTTCAAATCTTGGGTGATATGAAAAGAGAGCTTTCTATGAACTAGCATCCCGTAGACTGACATTTTAGCTGTACCAGGTCCTAGAATCATTAATCTTCCCATTTCATGAAGTCAGAGATAAAGAGGAAGAACCTAGGGGAGAAGTGAATAGGTGTTGATATTCAGTGGCATTAAGTTACTACTTGATGCCAATGCCCCTCAAACATTGCTTTCAAGCATTTAAAAAGAGAGAAGATGTATTGTTCTCAGTACCTCTGAAATTCCATAATTGTCATAAATGGAAAAGTTGACATTTTTAACTTTGTTATAATTGAATCTCCTTGTTATGGATGAATAAAACTCTTGTTCTTATAAGATTTGACCGTGGTGACTAATGATCATATCATACTTTTCGGTTAGTTCAGGATGTTGAAATTGATGAAGAAGTTGATGTTATAGTATCAGAATGGATGGGTTACATGCTTCTTTATGAGGTAATAATGGATAGACAGTTGCATTAAAATGCTTCTCTTGTAGTCTTTTTGTGAAAAAATGCTTCTCTTATGGAGGAAGGCTGACTTGGCACTGAGGAGCACCTACGTCTAGTTTGACGTGGTGTTACCTTTTAAATGTATTGTGTGTGAGTCCATGACTTCTTAAACTTTTGTGTTTCTTACGCCACATGTATTATGCTTGTCGTACCTTGCAGAGCATGCTGGGGAGTGTTATTACTGCTAGAGACCGCTGGCTGAAACCTGGAGGTCTTATTCTTCCGTCAATTGCAACGGTAGTCATACTCCATTCCTAATTTATGTGAGCTTGGAAATTTGTTGGGAGTTATCCTCTGTGTGTGTGTGTGTGTGTACTATCCTCCTTTTGCTTCTTTTTTTTGAGCGAATAGTGTATTTGTATTATTAGAATTTAGGTTCAGCTATTTGTAGTTATGCGGCAAAGACTCAGATATTCTGTAGTTATTCAAAAAAAATCCACTCTCTTAACATCTGCTTCATAATTTTACTCATTGAAGAAAACACATGCTGATACTTGCATTGCCAAGACATAATATGAAGCAGTTGTATTATAAATGGTGGTCTATTCATTTAGAATAAGATGAGATAAGCTCTTGGAACATATTCATATTCTAAGGAAGGTTCCTCTCATCTATGTCCAACAAAGACCTGATTGATAAAATGGCCATGGAAGCTCATCTGGAAGACTAAACTTCCCACTAAGGTCAAGTGCTTTAGCTGAACCACCCTCTACGAAGCATGCTTAACTCAAGACACCCATAGGAGATGTATTCAGACACTGAATGGGTGCTATACGTGTCAGATGGAATCAAAGAGTGTCAGTCATCTCCTACTTCGTTGTAGGTGTAGCAGATATCTGTAACATGTATTTCTCAATTTCTGATGTTGCCTGGGTCATGCTAATGTAAAGAAAGCCTATGAGGGCTGGTGTACATGGAGAGGTGGAAATCCATCAATAGTGTCTGGATAATGGTGCCAGCTTGTATTTTTTGGTGTATTTGGAATGAAAGGAATCACAGATGTTTTGATGGTATCACAACTCCTAATCATGACCTTAAAGATAGGTGTTAGTTAAACCTTTTTAGTTGGCTAAATCAGGCACCTGACATTATTTTGGATTGTATCTGCTCCTTGGTAGTGTAAAATGTTGTATATGAGCTAATCTTTGATATGCAATTATGCATCTTCTTGATGCATTTTGAATAAAATCCTTTACTTCTTTAAAAATTGGTACTGCATTGTTCATCTTGAACAAGTCCCAAGGATCTAGACCCGTCTGATGATTATAATAGCATTTTACTTTTCCACCACTTAATGATATGAAAGAGTAGAAAGTCATTTTAATATTCGTTTCTTCTCTCTGCAGCTCTATATGGCACCCGTGACACATCCAGATCGGTATGGCGAAAGCGTTGATTTCTGGCGTAACGTTTATGGAATTGACAGTGAGTATATGTTGTAATACTCATGATTATATCTGTTGTTACACTTACACATTTCCTTGCCATAGTGAAGTGATTTCTCTTCATAATGCAAATTAGATCCACTTGTATTTTATTGGATGAATTATGGGTTCCTAACGCGGATCAATTCTGGTAGTTTATTTCGTTATATGACACTCTCCTTATATGATATATAACTAATGTTAACTAATATAACTTATAGGATTTCTGTATGACATTTAGTCATTTTATTAAGTTTGACATGTAAAATTCAAAGTTTTGATTTATTATATCATTATTCATCGAGCTGTGTTTAAAGCTTATCTCTTTGCTCAATCCTCCAGTTATTTTTCTCTTCTCCGTCGTTGACACGCATCTGGATTTCCACGTAGATGCGAATATGCTTAACCTCGATAAAGGAATTTCTTTTTCTATTGAAACAAAAATAGAGTAGTTAGTAGCACTGAGTGGCTAAATATACTAATACACCTCGCTTGCACTGAAGTCGAGTCCTTGAATAGTTTTTGCTGTGTGCTTTCCTGGTGAGTACAGTGGTTAAACTTGTTTAAATATTAATGTCTTCAGACTTGCTGGTTTGTATACCATTTTTATTTGGATTCGACCATCTTTTGATTATACAGTTGATTCTCCAGTTCTTAGATTTTTGTAATGTCATTGAAAGTGTTGTTTCATCTATTAACCTTCCTTATCTAGTAAAGGTGATACATTACTGATCTCACACACACAGACCAAAAAGAAAAAAAAGATAGAAAGAAAGGTGTTATCTATCATGTGCTGAGAGCTGTATAGTAAACGTGAACCTTAAACTTTGTGGGAGTGGGGCAAACACACCTAAAAGAACAAAGATGAGTTGCTAAATGCAAATGTTGCTTTTGATTCTTTCTACGGGTTTCTCCATTAGATTCAGTTGGACTTCCATTTTTTGCAGTGTCAGCTATAATGCCGTTAGCAAAGCAGTGTGCATTTGAAGAGCCGTCAGTGGAGACAATCACTGTTGAAAATGTTTTGACATGGCCACAAGTGGTTAGTACCATCAAGTTCGGTTCTTTTTGGGTTTCAAATTGCTGTCTATTATGTGTGCCAAACGACAATGACAACAACTACTCTTAATCCCAAGCATATCAAAAGATTTATCAGTGTCAGACGCTGAATTGCTTGTTCCTCTTAACTTACTATATCGTGGCTTTTATGCCTAGTCACTGGAGCTGTCACATTTTTGTGAAGTGCTGTATGATGGTACATTTTCTTGTGGAAGCATCAGTCTCATCGCTTCTGTGATTTCTGTTCAGTTGGAACTAGTTTAACTGACCAAACTGTCTGACATCTGACCTCAGTCAATTTTGCTTGTTTATTTCAAATTTGGTATCTCTTTGATTTTAGTTTTTTAATTTTTTTTCTTTCTGGAAATTGTTCCTACGATTTGCTCCACTGAATCGACCAATCATAGTTAGTTAAACAACAGTAGTGGATTCATGGTACGTGTATGTCAGAAAGCTGGTACCTTATAGCTTGGATCTCTTGGTATTGAATAGCTGCTGTGATATTTCTATCTTTGCTGTTATGATTATGATAAACTAGGGCCAGATTTTCCGAACTTTTGTGCTTTTCTCCAAATTTCACACTATCTCTGCTCTCCCCTCTTTTCCCCATTCTCATTTTCCATTTCTTTCCATTTCTCTTCGTCATGCATATCTGCCCAAATCACAAGATATTCAGCCTCTCTTTCTCTCCCTGAGGAATTTGTTGTCTCTCATTTCACTCTTTTTGCTAGATCTCTTTAGTTGTAAAAATGATGATGCTATTCTCAAGCTGTTAATTGTGGATGTACATATGGTTATCAGTTAGATTGATTGACATTAAAGTGCTTTGGAGTTGACGTGGACATGCAGGTTATCTATCTGGGATAATTGCACTCCATTTCGTCCCCCTTTTTCTGGAGCTAAATTGCACTTTCTGTGTCTGAATCATTTGCAAGTTCGTATTCTTTAAAAAAATGTTATGGATGCTGTAAATAGAAGGGTATATGTGCCTAAATAGGTATCATGAGTAAAATTAAAAAAAAGTCACCTAAGTTGCAATTTTCCATTCTGTTTCTTCCGTTTTAGTTTTTTCCGTTGGTTTCTAACTTCACACTACATATTTAGAAGATTGAAACTCCCATGGCTATGCCCTGACTAAGGCCTGGAGGTGTTACTGACTATTTCCTTTAGGTGTTTTTGGGAGGAGTTTTGAAATCCCTATTACTATGCCCCGACTGAGGCCTGGAGGTGTTTGTACCAATACTGACTATTTCTTTTTCAATTTTTGGTTTCCACCCTGCGGGTTTCTTTTTTTTTTTTNAAAAGATTGTATAATCTAAGTACATAACCAGTATTATGGATCACTTCTGCAGATTGCAGGATTGTTGGATTCTGCAGATCGCTGGATTGTAATCTTAGCTCATTGTATTGTTGCCCCAACATGTGAAGTCCGGATAAGTAGGACTATGCACTCGAGTTCATAGTTGGAAGATTGCTGCTGATTGAGCCTTGGAGGTGTTATACACCAATACTAGCTCTTTTTTTTTTTTGGTTGTAAAAATTTTCGCCCTAATGGTTGGGGCGTGGGGGTGGGGTAGAAGTAGAGGGGATGAATTAGATCATTGGAATGGAATGCCTTCCTGGTAAAGAGGAACTATATTGAAATTTTTTTAGCTTCTCTATGAAAAGTAAAAAATGTAGAATCTAAGTTGATAATCATGTATTAAGGGTCACTCCATAGCTCAACCATTCCATCCAGGTTCTGTTGAATTGTTGCGCAACATGAAGATTCCGGAGCTGTACGACTATAGACGTGACTTCTAAAAATTAGGGATTAAGGAAACAGCTGACGGTTCATGGAAATTAGTTGCTTGAAATAAACACCCACATCTATTCTTACGGTTGTCATTCCCAAGGGAAAACAGAACCTTTTTCTTCTCTTTTGTGAGGTTTTTTTTGTGGGGGGGAGGGAGGTGGAGCTCCTTTATGTAAGTGAGATAATCAAATGTTTTTAGTTGTTTTCAGTGGTGTGATTCATTATAGTAAAGGTGCTCCCGCAGGGTATTTCCTCTTCAAAACATATCTTAAGAGCAGTTTGACTGTTTAGTTGTGACTGGAATGATCTTCTTTATTCTTTTTTTAATTGTTATCTGATATTTAATTTACTCACATGTAGCAATGTCTATTATGTTTGTCACAATGTTTTAAGTGATGATTTGATTCTCCAATTACCCATGTACTTCCTCTACCAGCTGATGTTTGTGACTTGTCCGTTTGCATGATAATTATGTCCTTCAGAACTGCCAAGGTAATGCATGCTCTTACTGATTGTGAAGAAGGTAAGGGATCTTGCTTTTGGTCGTGGTATGGATGATGTATGAATTGCGTTGGGTTCTAGAGTCTTCACAGTTATTTTGGCAGAATTGGGGTGTTTGCAATTTCAAGTACGGTCCAATATTTATATCAAAATCTTCAGGAATTTAGAATGTTCTGGGATTATGTGCTTTATGCTCGATTATTTCTTTTAGCTCTTGTATCTCATGCACTAGTGCAGTACCATCGGTCTTTCTCATTTTGGACTCATTTCCCTTCAACTTAACCGCAGGTGAAGCATGTGGACTGCTATACGGTGACCATTCAGGAATTAGAGTCCATCACAACCAGATTTAAATTTGAGTCAATGATGCGAGGTACAACTGCTCTCCTCCCCCCTNATCTGTTTTGATATTTATCTTTCTTGTTCCTCTTCATTAGAATTGTTGGGGAGAGATGATTTGTGCTTTTCTACTTAGTGTTCACCAAGTGGTCGCATGGCCTGATTCTCTTTTGTTTCAGCCCCCTTTCATGGTTTTGCTTTCTGGTTCGATGTGGAGTTTACTGGCCCCGCAGTATTACCTTTGAACAATGGTGTGCCACCGTCATTTGTTCAGTCTTCAACCAGTTACATCTCGGAGGGCAATCACAGAAAGAAACGTCCCAATCCTAATGAAGCGCTTGTCTTGTCAACTGCACCAGAGGATCCCCCAACACACTGGCAACAGGTCCTGTAAATACTTCCCCAAAAATATAATATTCAACTCTTTGCTTTTTGGCTAATCGGAATGAAAGTTAGGCATAGAACAGTGAGAATTCATGGTTAATCAACAATCTGCGTCTAATTTTTGATATTTGGTTGTAGTAACATTGGTTCTTAGATGGAATAACTTCATATTTTGATAAGGGAAAAGGGCCAAATATACCCCTCTACTTTCGGATATTGCCTACATTTAACCTCCGTTATACTATCCGGCCAAAATTTACCCCTACCGTTATACTATCTAGCCAAATTTACCCCTACCATCAACAAACTTTTAAAAATTACTCCTCAGTCTGTCAGGTGGCCCAGAATCTCCCAAATCATTTTAATCAAGTCACTTATTCTTCTTCTTGATCCACTATTTTCAAAACAATTGGCATTAGCTTTCTTAATTGAAAAAAAATAAGAGAAAGAAATTAGGTAGCTTGTCTAAATTCCAAAAGTATTTACAACATCCCAACTTTAATGAATTCGTTGCACCAAAGGTATGGAGACTTTGCAAGTTTTAGTGATAGTAGTTGAAGTTCCTTGGAGACTTTACATTTGTCGAATTCAACTTTGCTTTAATTAAATTCCTACGCATTATACACTCTTAAGTTAATTGATCGAACTCTATACTAACCAGATTATAACAAAATATATTCGAATATACATGTACATACATGATGATCAATTGCATATAATATACAAAAAATAGACCCACTGAATTCTATGGTGTGTATATGTTGAAAATAAATAAAATTTAAATCAATTCCAAACCCATTATCACAAGAAAAGTGGGTGCATCGGTAATTAAAAATATCCATGAATAATTTGTATAGTCTAGTACCTTTAGCATTCACATCAATAGTAATTTCTGAAAATAGTGGAGCAAGAAGAACAACAAGTGATTTAAATAAAAGGAAATTGAGAGATTTTGGATTATTTAACAAATCAAGTAATTTTTAAAAGTTTGCTGATGATAGGGGTAAATTTGACCGGATAGTATAATGGAAGTTAAATGTAGACAATATCCGAAAGTAGAGGGATATATTTAGCCTTTTTTCCCTTTTGATAAACTAATGGTGATAATCCTGTTTGGAAGAAAATTATGGTTATCTCCCACTTTTCTATCGGCTCTTCTCAGAAGAAATTGGTGCATGTGTTCATGGTTTACATTTTCTGACATGAAATTGCAGACATTGGTTTACTTCTATGAGCCCTTGGACGTAGAGCAAGATCAAGTTATTGAAGGCTCTCTAACACTGTCGCAAAGCAAAGAAAATGCTCGATTCATGAACATCCATCTTGAATATTCGTATGTTTTAGTGCTAAACTCAATTGAGACCCACTATCTAGCTTCTTTCAGCTTTTCTGGTGTTAACTTTAATTCCTTTTTGCATTCTTGATCGTGCAGATCGGGTGGACGTTCATTTGTTAAAGAGTCAGTCATGCGTTAGTAGACCTACATATGGCTTTCTGTGGTTTGACTAGCGAGTCTTCATGAAGTGAAGTTGTTTGTACCTTAATCAGTTCAGCCATTATGGTGCTCATGCACAGTTTCTCATTATTCTACTTCTACTTTAGGTAAGGAAACTAAATTGAGATCAGGGCATTTTCCACTGCCTTTTTAACTTAAAAGCATTGAATGGGAGAACTTCATGACATATGCATATAGGTGTATTAAGTGAAAAATTTGTAACATGTTGCGAGAATATGGGTCTTTCCCTGAGCTGTAATTTGTAGAGTAGATGTAGGGTTGGTCTGTTGATGTGGTAGAATTTTTGCAGAAATTAACTTCATTTGGATATGAGAAAAAAAGAAAAGAAATGATATATTATTTGTTTTCAGCCGCCGGAGTGAGAGATTACCTTTTATCTTTTCTGGTTCGTTCTCTTTCATTTGTTGGTTTGGAAAGAATGCTATATGCCTCTTAAAGATGTGCGTTTTTCACTCATTCTGGTAATTGACCCAAGGATTCACATATTTTTTTTAAAATTTCCCTCTTTACATAGTGTTACAGATTGGGTTCTTTACTTGCCAAATGTTTCCTTGTCCTTGACTGTATTATACGATACTGCATAAGATTTCAGTGTTAAAAGTTCAAAGCTTTGCTTCCTGTTCTTCCAAAACAATTAGAAGAATACCCTCTTGGTTTTCCCCTTACCATCTCAAGCTATTTTTTGGCCTAATACTTACTTTTAAGGATGGTAATGGCATGTATATTCGGGTTGTTACTAGTGATAAATTTGACTACTAATGAACGAACCAACTAATCCAGTGTGATTAGATTGTTTTTCTTAAGAAGCTTCTTGTCCCACTTATAGGTCACCTCCATTCCACTTAATTATGCAAGCCTCTTTATCTGCATGAAATAATTATCAAAATAGCTTTATTTGGTAAGTCTTTTGACATATAATGAATTTGAATGGCATATGTCCCATGTGCTCTAATTATTGTTTCTTGCTTTAGAAGAAGAGACCCTTCTTGCTTTCCCATATCTCATGTATGTCCTGCAACTTTGACTGCCACATTAATAATTGTATGTTTTCTAAATAAGAGAAAGAGAGAAAGAAAAATGATATAGCTTCTATTTCCATTAGGTTATTATATAAACAAATATTGAAGTATTATACTGGGAAAATAAGCAAATATTGAAACTTTTCACATTGTTTCACGGTTGCGAACAAGTATTAATTTTTCTAGGATTATACGTTGCAACAACAATAGCAGACCCAGTGTAATCCACAAGTGAGGTCTAACATGTTATTACTCGAAATAAAAGAAAAGGTGATTATCTTTCGAATTAAGAATAACTCTGCAGAATCAGCCGTTTTCCAAGGCAACGACCAACACAAGAGTAATGAAGTGTATAAAATAAAGGTGCACAAAGATAGTTTAGGGGTTGAAAAGGGGTTCTTATAGATTTTACAAATTTATCGAAGAAATACTCTACGCCATGAAAATTGAAATCAGAGATGATAGAATTCAAGCAATGATTTAAATTCTTATAAATGTCAATATCACATTCTTTGAACAATTTAAGGTATTACACTAAATTCTTACTTAGAACTTTTTTCCAGCCAAAAAAAGCACTTTATCGTGAGACCTAGAGAGATAGCTAAGACACATGGAGGGACAAAGGGGTAGACCAATTTGATATTTGATTTGACAAAAAGTTTCTAACTGCTATAGCTCTTTTTAGATTATTTTTTTCTTTCCTTTGCATCAGGTTGTAGATCAAGTGAAACCGTGAAAGTGAAAACATAGTAAAAGACAACTCGCTGTTTTAATTCAAGGTCCCCAAATATATAAACGAAATCAAAAGTATCATATAACCAATTATAATAGGTGACAATAGTTAGAATATGTTGAAAAAATTATATTAAAAAAGTTGTTTGACTCCTTAAATATTAACGACATCATGATATAAAAGAGTACTAGGTTGAGCCTAAAGCTCTTGTTTAATATTGCGTGTGTTACAAACTTAATTTGAAGATTAGTTTTGCAATTTAGTGATTAAAGAGCACTCTACAATGAAGTGTTTTTTTTAGAAAGTCGACAATGAAGTATTAGTTCTCTTTCCTTTCTAATTTATGTGACACGATTTGGAGTACGAGAGTCAAATTATATAATTTTCAATGTAAATTCGGTTATAGAATTTTAAAAAAAATTAAAATAAAATTTACATATTTAAAAACTACATAAAATACTATATAAATCATAATAATTAACAATTTAAAATATTTAAAAAGCATATGAAAAAAATGTGAAAAAGAGAACTCTTTTGATTCTCCAAATAATAATTGTGTAACATAAAGTGAGATAGAAAGATAAAGAAAAAAGGTGTACATATGAGGGAGGTGGTGATAAGAGACGGACCTATGCAAGTTCGACAAAAATTCACTATATACATATATATGTCTTTAGAAATAATTATATATTAATAGTGGGCATCTTTTATACGAAACGAATTTTGGTTGAATCATAAAGGTACTCGCGACCTTCAAATCCTCTGCACGCCTATACTTGGTGGTGACTCCATTTATTATCCTCAAAGGGATAACCATTTTGAGTCTTGGGGGACCTAAAACTCTTGTTATCTCATGAGTTCACTAAATTGGAAAATTAAAATAGTTGGGGCAAAATAATGCAGCTTTATAAAAAGAAAGCTGAGCTTTGATCATCATCTCTTTTTTATATGCCTAATTGGTCCCTCCATTCCTCCAAAATAAAACAAAAAATTGTCATCTCTTGTGGTATGTATTTGCTTTTAATAGTCTTCATCTCTTGTGGTATGTAATTGCTTGTTCTTTATGTCATTTGAAGGGAAAAGGAGAGAGAGAAAGAATTACTAAGATACGTTGGAGAACGCATGTAAAGCTAATAGTAAGTATATATCATAAACTAATTAAGTTAATAGTTGTTTAGCATTTCGCATTTGATTTCTTGTGGACGATGAAATTCATAATTCTATGTGCTATAAATTTGTGAAGCGGGTGTGATACATCTAGTATATAACATACAATAATAATAAACCCAATGTAATTTTACAAAGTGGGGTATGTGGAAGGTATAATGTACGCAACCTTACTCTTACCTTAAAAAGATAGAGAAGTTGTTTTCGATATACTTTCGACACATTTAGTATATATCATAAACTAAGTTATTAGTTGTTTAACATTTCGCATTTGATTTCTTGTGGACGATGAAACTCATAATTCTATGTGTTATATATTTGTGAAGCTTTCAAAGGTGTCGTTTGCTTACCGGGATTAGGATATAAAATTTGGAATTACATTTCTTCCATGTTTAGGTATTGGTATCAGCTAATAGGGTATTGATAGAAACTGAGGGTCCACCAAACTATATAGAGAATCGGGTTCTCTATCAGTTCACACAAAACACATACAAAGAGATAAGTAAATGATACAACATAGTTTTTACGTGAAAACCTCCCAACTCACGGGATTAAAAACCACGACCTACACTTGTATCATTAACCGAGCAAGTTCAGATTATAACCTATTGTAACCTAGGAATTAAAACCTTAATCCATCACTCACTTTTAATAACTCTATTACAAGCATCTTTGTAATAACACTATTACAAAGTTCACAACTCGACTAACTCTAGCCAAGACAGAAACACAAGGTTTATGATTTTACAATTTTTTTCCTACACAATGCTTCTAACTAAGCTAAGTAGGAATTACAATTAAATCACACTAACAAAGGTACAACACAACTAGGGACATGTGAAGATACAATACTGAAAACTGGTCTTTCGTAATGTTGTTCTTTGTTCTTGAAGCCTGAAAATCACTTGCAAGTCCGCGACACACTTTGAGAGGAAACTTGATGAAATCTGGAATGTGCAAGTGCTTTGTTTTCTCTTTGCTTCATGTTAATATTACACGAGTGACACCACTTGAATGATGCAAGCATATTTGGTACAAGGGCATTCCCCATAAAGTGACTGCTGCATTGTTTGCACTATTGCGTGTGTGCATGAGGAACAGTTGCAGCGACTTTACAGTTGTGGGGAGTTGACTGGTACAGTCAGCAAGGGAACTGATGTCCATCTGTTCTCTCTGTTGTTTCTTTGACTCTGAGTGTTGTAGCATGTCCCAGACTTGAGACTTGTTGATCTTGAGCACGTTGAGGATGTGGAACAGGTTCCCTATCTAGTTCTTATCATTAAGTTTGTTAGATCATCAAAACATAACATGACACATAACCTATCAGTTTTCCCATTTTTGATGATGACAAACTTATAATTGAAGTTCCCCCTGAAAACTAGAGTACCATAAATATTTTCTGTATTCCCCCTAAACCTGTTCCCCCTCAATTAATTTTCCCCCTTTTGGCATCATAAAAAGATTAGGCACAAGTAATAAGATAAATGAAGTCTAGCATAGTTAACTCAAGCCACATGTGTGTACACAAACATGGCTAAAAATAGAGCATAAGAGCTTAAGAGTATAGCATGCAAGGCAAAAGGACGGGATGCTCATAAATTTGTTCAAAAAGGGAGCAGAATTTGCAGTACCATTTGTTACACAACCATTCACAAAATAAAACAGCTAAAAAAGTACCAGCCACTAAACACAGTAAAATAAAGGGACCAAAATAGAGGGCATATGACTTGAACTGGTCACTGGAAAGGGAACAATTTTAAGGAGCACCGGAAGGGGAGGCATAGATGAAGAGGCAAGGGTTCTAAGGAGAATATCCATTCTAGCATTTGCTGACACTTGCTCATTAAGTAACCTCTCCTTCAGGTCCTCGACCTGTTTCCTGAGTGCAGCATTTTCCTTGGTCATACGGGCAACCTCTATGCCTTGTGAACTGCTGGAACCAGGTGCCTCCTGGGCCTGACTAAGTTAACCCTCAAGAATAACATTCTGTGCCTTCAACTTCCTTATCTCTTCATTGGCAATGTTCTGAGCTTCAATAAGTTGAGAGATAGTGGAATTGCTGCCAACCCCTCATTTCTTATCGATGCACTCACACTCTTCTAAAGTGGTCTTGGAGAAGGTCTGCTTGTGAGTACCCACTGTAGCCTTTCCCAAAGGGACTTTGAAGAACTCAAATACCTTAGTGAGTAAGAACCCGTAAGGCAGCCCATGATTACCATCCTTAAAATCGGCCATTTTTTTCATGTGCTCAATCATGATACCCGGCAAACTGATAGTGGAGTAGACATCAAGTGCTTCCATGATAAACAGGTGTGCTCGTGACGTAATGGAACACCTTTCTGTGTGTGGGAGAAAAACCTTGTTCACCATCTCGAACAACAATTGGTACACTAGAATGAGGGCCTTCTTGTTTACCCGTTCCCCTTGTTG